ATGACGGAGTTTTCTTGGCAGAATTTGTTCAGGAGGGGGTTTGCCTTTGCTATCCCCTGAGGCTGAGAGCATGTGACTTGCCCAAGGTTGCCCAGTGGGTTTCCATGACCAAGCGGGGATTTGATCTCTAGTCTCTCAGTGTCTTCGTCCAGCACTCAAACCACTCCACTACTTTGTATTTGCACGGGGATGAGAAAATTTAAAAACACAAACCAACCCCAAAACAATGATCTAAAGCTGGAGGCCCCAAACTATGGCCTGTGGGCTGGACCCGGCCCGTCGAGGCCTTCCTACCAGCCCGCGGCTGGTCCTGCCACTGCCGCCGCCACTCGCACCCGCCACCGGATGCCATTTTGTCTTCCAAAATGGCGTCCAAAGTTGCACGCATGCCTCTGGCCAACCGGAAGATCTGGGGGCCAGCGAACCGGCCCCTGGATCAAAAAGTCCAGGGACCCCTGATCTAAAGCCAGTTATTAGTTCTATTTTAAAATTATTTTTTAATTATTTTTAAATTTTATTTAAAGCAGACAAAAAGAAAACATAATTCAAATACGATACATACATAACCCACAAGGGTAAATTCTGCCAATTCAATGGGTTTACGCTGGTTGGATTAGTTCTAACTAGCCTAAACCCATTGATTCAGCAAATTTTATATATATATCTTGCTTTACTCATTTCCCATCCATGGTTCCATTCTCAGTCAGGCTAACAGTTGGATTATATAGGCCATTATATTAATCAATATTATATAGATGGGCACTAACTCTCTGGAAATGATTTCCTGATATAAATCCATAGGCACTTGCACTGAATCTTTGGATTTTCATAAAGAGGTCTACAACCATCACCTTGGTTTTGAATGGAAACCAAACATTTCACCATCTTGAGGCATATTCAACAAACAGCCAGTTTGTAGTGTCCTCTCTGGTAGCATGAGAGAATGTATTCTTAGCCTCTGAAATATTGTGTTGTATTTCTCTTTCACAAACGCACAGAACATACATACACAACTTCTGCAAATAATGCATAACCTTCCTTCTTCCTGGGTGCATTGCCTTCTGAAATTGGTTTCCAAGTAAGACAGAAAAAATGAAACACATAATATTTAACACATAGATTAAGTCACTGAGTAGTAATTGGTAATATATTTCAGGCCATAGCATATCAATTCCAAGCAGGTTGTAATTAAAAAAAATGTTTTTGGGAGATCTAGTATAAGCAAAATCATGCATATCTCCCAGAGAGAGAATTCTTCTAAATAGCTTACTTCTAAAGCTCTTCTATACAAGTGCAGCAATCAAGACTAGATTGCACTAGGAATCCCTTGGGAGGAAGAGTACATTGATTTTAAAAGTACAAATTTAGAATGCTTCACAACAGGCTTAATAGACATGGTTTCTCCAGAAGACTCCTGGGAGCTTGGGCATTATCTCAGTAATTCCTGGAATCGCCCCGTAAAACTCTAGCACTGCGGACAAAAAAGAGCACTTGTAAAGAAAGCCAGTGTGGTGTAGTGGTTAGAGCATTGGACTGGGGTATTGAGAGATCCAGGTTCAAGCTCTTGCTGAGCCATAAAACTTTCTTCTTTTAAGCCACTTTGCAGAGTTTTTGCATGGATGAAGTGGAGAGGAGAGCCATGTGTGCTGCCTAGAACTCATTAGAGGAAAGTTACATTTTATTTTATTTATATCTCTCCTTGAGAGTGGTCTGAAACTGCATCTGCACTGCAGAAATAATCCAAGTTGACACCACTTTAACTGCCATGGCTCAATGCTATGGAATTCTGGGAATTGTCATTTGTGTGACACCAGAGCTGTCTGACGGAGAAGGCTAAATGTCTCGCAGAACTACAGTTCCCAGAATTCCATTGCATTACACCATGGCAGGTAATGTGGTATCAAACTGGATTATTTCTGCAGTGTAGAAACAGCTTGAGTGTTAGACTACGATTCTGGAGACCAGGATTCGATTCCCTGCTCGGGCATAGAAACCCACTGGTTGACCTTGGGCAAGTCACATGCTCTCAGCCTCAGGGGAAGGCAAAGGCAAACCTCTGGACAATTCTTACCAAGGAAATCCCTATGAAACCTTTGCTTTATGGCTTGAAGGCACGCAACAACAGCAACAACAGATTCAAAAAATAAAATCTAGTGCCTATGCATTGTTGGCAAAGAACATGGCCTGAAACACAGAAAAAGACTGAAAAAAAATCTCTACTGTTGGTAAGTAGTCTTCAGCACAAAACTACCGTATTACTTTCCAAACAAACAATAAACAGTTATATGTAGAGAGATCTTGTAGCACCTTTGAGACTAACTGAATGAAAGAAATTGGCAGCATGAGCTTTCCTAGACTTCAGTCTACTTCCTCAGATGCATTTTTAAATTTTTTTTAAAAATGCATCTGAGGAAGTAGACTGAAGTCTAAGAAAGTTCATGCTGCCAATTTCTTTCTTTCAGTGAGTCTCAAAGGTGCTACAAGATCTCTCTACATACTGCTTCTACAGACTAACACGGCTATATCTTTGGATAAACACTTGTGTTTAGTAAGTGGAGATGGTTACCAAGCTGCCTGTACAACTTTTCTTCTCAAACCTGTATTGCTTGCCTGTCTTCTGTGAAAACTGGTAAATTGTGGAAACTGCTTAAACTGGTCTGTCTGGAGAGAGGATGGGGGTTAGTCAATGACTGTAAAAGAAGGCCTTTATAGCCAAATCCTTGAGCCAGCATCCGTATTGGAAGGAGATGAGATCTAAAATGTGCAAATATTTGTGCAAATAGATGTGCAAATATTTGTA